TCATGAATAGTCCATCATATTCAAATAAATTGACCTTAGAAGAAATCGAGTCATGGATGAAAGTACAAAAATCTTGAAACTCCTCTATCGTAGATTCAGGTCTATAAACAACAATGAGTAAAATCTTCTTATGACTAGATAACATGATTTTTAAAAATAAAATTTCGAAATTGTTAATTCTCTAAATTCCATAAACGTGTACTAGCAAGATCTTATGTAAATTATAACACCTCCACCTCGTTTGTGCAATTGATCCTTACCAAACAACTGATAATTTGAAATAGAAACTTCAGCATCATCATTTTGTGGCTTTCTTCTGACTGAAACAACGTTAATTAAATACCTGTAAGAAGTTTGTCAATATCAGGCAATGTTTTTAAATGAATTACTTGATTTGCTGAATTACGATAAAATACGCGTCCATTTGAAGAAAATATTTGATGACGTTTACTCTTTTGAACTCTTTGTCGTGCGGTAGTAAAAATCTTAGCATTTTTTCTTGAAAGATCTTCGGAAATAATAACGTTTTTCATTGGATGATCATTGTCTAAAACAACGTGGTCTAGAGTAGAAACGTGCAATCAAAACCGGTGGAAGAGGTGGTTTAGTTGATGTTGAAATTTCCGGTTTTTGAAAAGTACGATGGGCTGTTTCAATTTTTGTATAATCGAGATAGCATCCGATTTCATTTGCAATGTCCACGGTAACTTGAATTGCATCTTCATCTTTGTGATAAGGTACATTTGATAATCTAATATTGAATGAGCGATTATAACGTTCTGATTCATCTAAACGATTTTCATTATCAAAAATTTGATATTGTAATTGATTAAGACGTTCAGTTAGACGATCAGAAATGATAGGTTCGAGTAAATCAACAATTTTTTGTAGATGACTATCAATATCAGTCATTTTTAAATCGGAATCTTTTGATATTGTGTCAACCAGTTACTTTCTAACATCATCATTTTTTAATTGATCAGTGAGTTCATTACGTAAATTGAAGTCAGGCAGGAGTGTAAGACGTTCGTCAGTTTTAGTTCTTTGTGATTTGAACATAGTAAATTAGTTATAACAGTGACTAAAGCAACATTTATGTATATACGTACTTCTTTATTCAATTCTTTACATATACAAACACATGTCTGATCTCGATGAAAAATCGTTATTTTGGTACTTTACAAAAAGGTGGTACTTCACCTTTTTTCCTGTACAAATTAGAGTTTCTTCACGAGAACTTCAACTTTTTTGATCTGCAGCTAGGAGTTCCTTCTCGTGAACTTCATCTTTATTTATCTGCAACGTACAGTTTCTTCTCGAGACTTCCTCTTTTTTCCTGTACAACGAGGAGTTTCTTCTCGAGAACTTTGTCGTTATGCTACATTAGAAAATGAGATTGAAAAAAATTCGGCTATAAAACTTCAATTAGCTAATTACTAAAGCTATCGTAAGACTAATGACTTAAATCAACTAAAAAAGCTGATCTGAATATAAAAAATATTGTATTTTTCTTTTCCTTGAACACTGGAAAAAATTTAGTCTGTTGTGCCTCGCAGAGTATATCTATGAAAAATTTGTTTTTGTTTTGTTCTCCGTATGATTTTACGGTAGAAGCTTTTAGTTCAAATGATCATTTATATTTCTTATGTCACACTCTGTAAAGGTAAAATAATTCACTGTGTACCAGACCAGACCAGACCGAAAGCACTGTAAAACAAAGTTACTTCGTCGATCATTTTTTGTATCGTATACAACCCCAAATTCGAGCAAAAAAGCCAGATTCAACATCAATATTCGTGCTGGTGCTCCTGATAGTGAGAATATCCGAGTAATAAACGACGCTATTTTATCAGTATTTTAACCTTGTTTATTCTTTATAAAATAAGATTCTTTGTTCTTGCACAAAAATTCCCTTCTGTGTTTAAAGACAGCATCAGTATTTAGACTTTAGCCAAAGAATGATCCTTGCGAAACTATCAGAGTGGACGGTGTAGTAGCAGAAGCCATTACGACATGTTCTCGTTGTTGCAATTCTTGTTTAACGAATTGCTGTTGAATGTGCGCGGGAAGTCCAGGGTTGAGTGTGAGTGCATACGGTAAAATCATCTTCGGCGATTCGGCAAAATCGACAAAGACCTTTATGAACATTGTGTCCTCTTTTATGTAATTATTACCAGCTTGTTGTATTATGGACAAGGGAAAGAATTTTGGAATGCCTGAGGCAATGTTCATCTCTGAACGGGGACGTTGAAAGCTGTTAGATTTGATATCGGGTCGAAATGAGTCAGTGACATGTCGCTGTTCATCTGATTGATCGTAGAGATGGAAAGTGACTTTGTAGTTGAACGGCCATTTGAGAATAGCGTCGTGTTCGCCCTTCATAATAACGAAAAAGAGGGACATGTGCGTTTGTCGAGCATTACCATCACCGTTCGGATAGAGACGTACGCGCATTTTGTACCCGGACGGCGATGAGTAAAACGAAGGTGAATAGAATGATGTTTGTTGTTCACTTCGAGTAGCGGACATTTTTTCCGCAATATTTGTTACTTTCCAAATCAGGGTTCCATCTGACGACACACATCGAAGATCTTCTACTTTTTGTTTTACACTCGACAACTCTTGCTGAAGAATCTTCTGATTGGCAGCTATACCGGCTAAAAATGTGTCGTTTTCCGCTATAGACAATTTCTCCTTATTCAATTGCTGCGAAAGGATCTGTGAAAGGTGATCATTTCTCAACGATTCCTCACTTAACCTAATTAAATCTCGGTTCTGCGTATTTATGCCTTGAGCTAGAATGGTTAAAAAGTCAAAACATTTTCGAAATTCACGATACAATTCGTGTGTCGGTGATGATGACTCATGAGTATCAACACCCATTTCATTATTAATATCAGTTGAACTTTTAATAGTAGCTGATGAACTTAATTCATATAGCTTGATTACTGATAATATTAAAATACGTTGATGTGACTCGCTTACACAATGACTGCTGATATCGATTGTCTGAATCTGAAATGAAAGACAAACTATTATGAATCCATCCTCTAAGTTATGGAGAACTAGACTAGTTTTGTAAAGATTTTACGTCATAAAATGATTTCGTAGTCACGTTTTCTTGTTAAGAGGCATTTTTGTGAAAGATACGATTCATGAAAACTGAAAATTTCCTTTCTCCTTTCTTTTAAAACTTATTCATAAGTAATCCGCTGTATTTTGTTGTGAAGTGGATAATACTTGTGGTTTAGGATTTCTTCAAAATATATAAATCTTTCAATTAATATTTTGAGCTTTTCTATAAATAAAAGAGATTGCAAAACAAATTTATTCGACTCGAAGAAAATTGAGTTGAAATATCAATTCATTTTCTTCCGTGAAGAGAATAATGCTACATACTCTATACTTTAATTTGTTTTACTTTTTGAATCCTTTTTATTTATGTCTTCAAGAAATCGCACTTACAGTTCTTTCAAAGTGTTACGAAAGGGGAAAGTGATGATATCAGCACAGTATTTCGAGAATAACATTCCGTGAAGAGAATAATGCTACATACTCTATAATGTAATTTGCTTTACTCTATCGAAGTCTAGAAAGTTCTCTCTTTCTGTGTGTCGTTCTTTGTTAGCTTCATCAGACGTTTAGCCAAAGGAACATAGTGGATGGTCTTGAATGAAATGGTGAGGCGAAGTGTGAAGTAGGTTTTCTCTACGGTCGGCTAAAAGCACTCTAAGGAACTTTATGATGTTTGAGACGTATTTGAGACGTACACATGAAACGCTCTAACCAGAAATTCATCTGTTTGTTCCGACTCCGAGCAAGAAGGACACGGTTGGTTGACTGACCAACTGACAGTTGACCATGTATGGTGCTCAAGAAAATCTTAGCTGAGAACTCTAAGCAAAAAAATGCAGTACTTAATTGATCAAAACTGGACGAAAGGATAACGGTTGCGGCAATATGTTGCGACAGATCACGCTCCATTTTGTGAAAGACGAAGTATAATTAGAATTACAAATACATAAATGCGCGAACTACGTGTAATTGTTTTTTCTGTGTATCTCAGACAATGTCGATAACTTACCTTTTCTGTGCAACCAAACTGCTCTAGCGGACAGGAAATTATTGATTTTGTACAAGATTCCTTCGTATGTTCATGTAATACTGAAGAAGTCGAAAATTTGTTCTGACATTTATCACATGTGTAATTTGAATGATCACTACGCAGATGTTCCTAAAATAAGCCAGGGTGACATTGTGAAACATTCAACATAAAGATAGTTCTATTGCTTACTTGGTAATCCTTTATCTTTCCGGACCATTTACAATTATTACGTTCTTCGATGCAAACAACGTCTAATTGATCTATTTCTCTACCAAAAGCTTTATCAACCAAAATCTATAATTTCAACTTTTGTCCAATAAACATCTTCTTGATGAAGAGAAAGATCACATACTTTTGCTTTGGCTACAGTTGCTGAGCATACAGTGCATATTACTTCTTTGTCTTCTCTAGAAAATACATAAGCGAACTTAGCATCGTATATTCAGATGAAAACTACCCACATTTTATTCGCAACGATTCCAGTCGGGAGACTGCGATATTATATATCATTCGATGCAGTTGTTCGCGTAGATTCCGAATATCATATTGATTTTGTATAAAAATGTTTCTGAACGTTTAAAAACTAAGTTTTTCACTTTTTCCATTCTGTATATATAAGTTCGTGTTACGTATGAAAACGAGAAAATATATTTTTTTCTTCTCTCTTCCCATATGGTAAAACACGTTCTTATTTTTCTAGCGTGTCATCGATATAAGAAGATTTGGTCAATTTTTATATTTTGTGATTTCAGTGAGAAAAGGTGTCTCTCAATCACATACTAATCATTTACCAGTATTAGGCAAATTTTAAGCTCTATCCGAATTTGACTGCTTGGCATTTCAGAAACACGCACAATCCGGAATAGGCGACTTTTTAGAAAAATTTGATCTACAAAAACTCGTTTTTCGACTTCCAAATTACCAAATTATACGTTCTAATTTTAGTCTTATTAGACAGAGCACATAAACGCCAATGGAAATTTGAACTCATACTTTTATCTTCGAATAGTTTCTGAGAAAACTTCTGAAATTTCCCAAGCAGGCTTTCACTTTAATTCATGAATGACAAACACACTAGATCACAAACACATTAGATAACGCACCGACATGAATTTTAAAAAAGAATTCCTAAATCTAAAATATTATTTCGTGTTTGGAAATATCACTTCAGAATATCAACAGAATGCTGTTCATTTGTCTTTCAAGCAGCTACCACTGTTTTCATGTTAATGTTTTTACTAATGCTTATACAAGTTTAGACAAATCAGGGAAAAAAATCGTATTTTTTAAAATATTCGTCTTTTACAAATTCCTTAACCTGAATAATAAAACAAACATTGCCACAGTAATCAACGTGTCCGATAGCCTTTGTGTTTGTAAGATTCCTAGAGCTCAAGTTTGGCCGATAGGTAGGTCCTTGGAGATTGCCTATAGCATCCGAACCAAGATAGATGGGGATGTGGGACGTGTACCAGATTGTAAAGCGATATCTGCTCTACACCCACATGTATTCAGAGCCATATCTCGCTATGTGGTTTTATGCAATGACAGGTTCGAACTTTTTGCTTCGAAAGGCACACTATGGTAGAGCTGTTGGATAAGGCTCATTTTCGCATAGGATTATGTCTCCGAGTGTCCTCTTTCATAATCCCAAAACCGAGTTCTCTAGCTCATTCGGTTCTTGAGTTATTAAAAAAAACATCCGACATCGACTGCATTATATTTTGAAGTGGATAGTATTAAGTCTATTTCTGTCAGAACAGCATTGTGAAGAACTTTTTTCTTGAAATTTTCTCGGTAACGCTTCTGTTATTGAATCGCAGTGAGCTTCATCTGAAGAAAATGTTTTACAAATCGCTGAATACGAGATAAACTTATCTTATGCTGAAATAATCTAGAATTAAAAAACGCATAATTCCTGACGACGTTGTCCAGAAATTTCCTCAAAAACTTCGTGTCTTTATCTTCTACGTTTTATTCCAAATTAAGTAGTCAGCAACAAAACCATGCTAGTCTATTTTAGTCAAAAAACGTTTTCGAAGCGAGCTACAATGTATTTCATTCGATGCAGCTTATCATCCTGATAACGAATGTATAGTTCGTCTTTATTACTAATATCGCTGAGATAAAGAACTTGGAGTTCTGAAATAAGGTCTGTCATACCTTACTGAGGAGAAAATTCCAGAACTTTGAAGCAATAATCTGTAAAATATGAACGAACTTTTCTGCTCTAACGTTTTGCTCTGCTTCTTCATCTCTTTTGAGTAAAACAGACGCGTTTTGCCTCTTTTGGGATTGCATCAAACTTCGTTAAAAATGCTGGTTTCCTAGTTTTTCGGCTAATTTTAGTTTGCTCAAATTTTAAAACCAACAGTAGGCTTCCGTAAACAAGGGACTTAAGACCTTTCCATTCTGGTCTGACTTCCCATTATTGCATCTTACCTTGCTATCGTTAATATACATTCTTGGCATAATCGATCACCACACGGTAATTGATATACATTTTCCAATATTAATTTACACACAGAGCATGTATACTTTTCATAGACAACAGCATCCTTGTTATGAACGGCATCATTTGGCATTAACCTTCAGCACGGAATAGAAAGACAGGATACAACGATATTATCGCGAAGCAACTCTTCCGCAAATATTTGAAAATAGATATTAAGAAAACTGAACTTTAGTTAAGCCATCAAAAATAAATCTATGCGTAGACGTAGATGTAGACCATAGTCTACGCGTGGTTGTGAATCAATGTCACCCTCTTTTCTTTTTCTTTCTCTGACTTTGCTGAATGAAACAAATCCGATACATTTCTGTGTACAGAATAGAACAAATTTTCATTTTTTTATTCTCCGCTACACAATCTAACGCAATCTAAAGCTGAACTGTATTCTTCCTCTTTATAAATATATATTTATATATCGGTGTTCAAATCATATAATCTATTCTATCGCATTATGAAGATTTTTTTCTTTTCCACGAAAGCGAAAACATGTTAGAAATTTTCCAAATTTTTGTACAACTCAGCTAACTAAAATAGTCTTAATTTAAAAGGCACCCTTCCTTGAATTTTTAACGAATGTAGAGTACTGGAGTAAAAAAAGAGACTGATCAAACATTAAATTCAAATTGTAATTCCACAAGACATTTACTACACCATCTTATTAATTCTTTATATTCATTTCATGAACTAGAAAAAGGTTCAATTGATAGAAAAATTTCTCGTAGTGTATCGTTGTGAGTATCACGAAAGACCACTATCGATAGTCATATGTTAAAACTTTATGGTTCACATTATGAAACATATCGTAAATCAAACGTTTGTGCTGCTAAACAACGAGAATCATTTAGAGCTCAAAAATCATATTTATCAAAAGATAAAACTACTGCATTAACTACAACTTAATAAATAATAAATAATCATACTCAAAACAGACAATAACAAATATTATTTTAATTCGGTGTACTATTAAATTTGTTAATAAAAAACCATTTTGCTTAAAA